AGAGTAGTATGAGGGTATAGGTAGTGTAAATGTAATACCAACATGAAACTGTAATTGAAATGTATTATAATCCAAATGTGTTTGCTCTTCTATGTGTTGGTTTTTGTGAAACCCAAAAAATACTGTAAATGAATTGTATGAACTGAAAAAATTGTTCTTTAATTTAGGGGGTAAAATATTTTTAAAATATGTATTTCTATTTTTATCATACTTACACATGTCCATAATTTTAAAAATCAAATACTTACACAATAAAGTTGGATCAGTAAGAACTGAATATTTTAAAAATTTATTATATCAACAGACCTAAATAACCATCTCAACAGATTCAGAAAAAGCATTCAAAAAAATTCAAATCCTGTTCATTATTAAAAACTCTCAGCAAACTAGAAGGGAATTTCCCCATTCAGATAAATGGTATCTATAAAAACCCTACAGCTAACATTAAACTTATTGGTGAAAAGACTGAATGCTTTCCTCCAAAGATCAGGAACAAGGCAAGGATGTCAGCCCTCACCACTTCTATTCAACATTGCAGAATATGTCTCAGCCACTGCAATTTGGGGAAAATGATGGGGCAGTGTATTACAGATTTAAAAAGAAGAATATAAAATTGTCTATTCATAGACAACAGATCATTTCTGTAGAAAATCCTGTAAGAAAATCTACAAAAAAAGCTGTAGTACTAATAAATGAGTTTAGTAATATCACAGGATACAAGAGCAACATGAAAAAAAAATCAATTGTGTTTCTACACACAAGCAACAAAGATATTGAGATTTATAAAATTCTATTTATAGTAAAAAAAACTCTGAAGTATTTGTGAATAAATGTAGCTAAACTTGTGTAAGACCTACTGTGAAAATTACAAAATACTGCTGAGAGTATATAAATAAATGAAATAAATAAAAGGTATAAATAAATGCAGAGTTATAATATGTTCATGGATCAGGAGACTCAATATCAAGATGTTAATTCTCCCCAAATGATTTTTAGATTCAAAGTAATCCCAATAAAAACCCCAATAAGCTTTTTTTTGTAGGAAATATGATTCTAAAATATATATAGAAATGCAAATGAACTAAAACAGCCAGAACAACTTTGAAAAATAATACAGCTGAAGTAATTATATTATTGATTTCAAAAATTACAACAATACTAAAGTAAAACAGTGTGTTATTGGACTAAGGATGGACATATAGGTCAATAGAACAGAAAAGAGAGTCCATAAATAGATCCACACATACAGAGCAAACTGATTTTCAACAAAGGTGCCAAGGTAATTCAACAAGGAAAAGCTAGCCTTTCAATAAATGGTGCTGGAATAACTGTTATCTACATGCAAAAAATTTAAACTGGACCCTTAACTCTTACCATATATTAAAAATTAACTCAATGGTTCCAGAAGTCGATTCCCTAAAACCCATGATTATATTCCACATTTCAATAAGACACTGCTTTAATTTAGGGGAAGAAGGCACTCTATACAAAATAGTAATATTAACATTATTAAATAATACTAAAAATTCATATGGATCGTAAGTTTGAATGTAAGAGCTTAGACAATAAAACTTCTAGAGAAAACAGAAAAATATCATTGCAATCTTGGAGTAGGCAAAAATTTCATAAATAGTATATGAAAACAAATCATAAGAAGAAAAAATTGGACTTCATCAGAATTGGACTTCTGCTCTTCTAGAGATACTGCTAAGAAATGAAAAGGCAAGCCACAGAATGGGAAAAATATCTGCAGAACATATTTTTGGTCAAAAGAGCTGTAATCAGAATAAGATTCTTATAATCTATATATATAAAGAGCAAGCGGTCATCGCATCCGAAACAAACAAAGGGACAACCGAACAGGCTGCGTGGGGTGACCAGGCCGGCAGGGGGGTTAGTGAGGGACGGCCAAACGACTGAGCAGCAGGCTGCGTGGGGTGACCAGGCTGGCAGGGGGGTTAATGAGGGACGGCCAAACGACTGAGCAGCAGGCTGCATGGGGCGACCAGGCTGGCAGGGGGGTTAATGAGGGACGGCCAAACGACTGAGCAGCAGGCTGCATGGGGCGACCAGGCTGGCAGGGGGGTTAATGAGGGACGGCCAAACGACTGAGCAGCAGGCTGCATGGGGCGACCAGGCTGGCAGGGGGGTTAATGAGGGACGGCCAAACGACTGAGCAGCAGGCTGCATGGGGCGACCAGGGGCAGTGAGTGGCAACCAGGCTGGTGGGAGGGGCAGTAAGGGGTGACCATGCTGGCAGGGGGGGCATTTGGGGGTGACTAGATTGGCAGGAGGGCCAGCTAGGGGTGATCAGGCAGGCAGGCACATGAGCAGTTAGGAGCCAGCGGTCCTGGATTGTGAGAGGGATGTCCGACTGCCGGTTTAGGCCCAATCTCCAGAATTGGGCCTAAACCGGCAGTCGGACATCCCCCGAGGGGTCCTGGATTGGAGAGGGTGGAGGCTGGGCTGGGGGGAACCCCCCCCCCATGCACAAATGTCATGCACCAGGCCTCTAGTCTATATATATAAAAGCCTAATATGCAAAGTGTCCCCGCAGGAGTTCAACTGACCGAGTTCAAATATAAAAAGACAACTCAATTATAAATGGTTAAAAATATGTATAGACACTTCACCAGTAAGATATACAAATGGCAAATAAATACATGAAAAGATGTTCAATATCCTTATTCCTTAAGAGAATGCCAATTAAAACCACCACGAGATACCACTATATATCCACTAATAGTTACACTTAAAAAAAACTGACAATATCAAGTGTTGATGAGGACATGGGACAACTAGAATCCTCATCATTGCTTGTGGCAATGTACCTTTGAAAACAGTTTTGCAGTTTCTTATAAACATAGATTCATCATATGACTCAGCAATAGTTCCTCTCTTGGGAATTTACCAAAGGAAAACAAAAATATACGTTCATACAAAGGCTTGTATACAAATGGTTATTATACTGGTGTCATTTATAACAGCCAAAAATGTAAACAATCCAAATGTCTATCAAAAATTGAATGGATAAGCAAATTAGGTTTATTTACACAATAAAATACTATTCAGTAATGAAAAGGTATAAACAATATGAATAAATCTCAAAAGCATTATGCTAAGTGGAAGAAGCCAGACACAAAGACTACATATTGTATGGTTTCATTTACATGAAATCTAGAAGAAGCAAAACTATAATGACAGAAAGCAGATCAGTGGTTTTGGTAGGTGCTGAAGGTGGGCAGAGGGGATTGACTGCAAAGAGGCACAAGGAAATTTTAGAGATTAGCTGAAATGTTCGGATCATGGCTATGGGAGTGGTTATATAATTATACGCATTTATCAAAACACAGCAAATTGAACACTTAAAAATAATGAATTTTTAAAATGTAAGTTATACCTCAGTAAAGGTGATTTTTTAAAAAATTCCCACCCAAGGATATTTTTCCCATTGATATTTAGAGAGAGTGGAAGGGGGAGGAGAGAGAGAAACATCAATGTGAAGAGACACATCGATTGGTTGCCTCCTATACGCACCCCCACGGGCCTGGGGATCAAACCCACAACCGAGATACATGCCCTTGACCGGGAATTGAACTCAAGACCATTTGGTCTGAGAGTCAACACTCTAATCACTGAGAAAAACTGGCCAGGGCAGTAAAGGTGGTTTTTAAAAAGAATTTAAAGACTATTTTTAAAATATTACTCTAAGTTATATATGTATATGCAACCTTCCCCACATTGTACAGTTACCCTTATATCTTTCTCAGTAGTGAATGTCCTGGAATTTAATAAACGTGGGTTTGTAACTGTAGTTCAAAAAATAATTCCACATATGATACAAGGAAAACTCTATCAATTTGTAACAACATTTACCACTGGTGCAAACAGATGGAGCAGAGACAAAGTACAGGGTAGCCCCCTATTGCCTAAGGAAGCCAAACTGCATTGTCACCATTCAGCAAAGACCCACAATGTTGACAGGGAGAATTAGCTTTGTGCTACATGTCCCTCAGTCCACCATCTGGAATATTTTTCATTCGAAGCTGGAAAAAAAAATCTTATCCCTTGCAACTCATATGAGCTCTAACAGCAGCAGATAAAGCAAAACAGTACAACTACTGCTGCAGTTTTCACATCACAAGGAAACCAAATATGATTTGCAGGTAACCTCACATTCAAGGATAAGGCTATATTCCACTTAAGGGGAGAGATGAATGGTCACAGTGTATAACTGTGGGATGCTGCCATCAGCATAGTAATTGCTCAATAAATAAATTTGTTAAATGAATAAAATGTGCCTATGTAGATATTCAGTAAACATTTGTACAAATTTATGTATATGTAGATATTATTCACAGCTAAATGATGCAAGAACTGTCCCTTACACTTCCTTTCTCAAACAATTTCTTTGGTTGGAAGTTGATAATTGTTTTCTTTCTGCACCCATTTTGTTTCTAATGAAATACCAATTCAAGCATAAACTTTCAAGAAAGATGATTCTTTTTTTCTCCTTTATATATTGCTTCATTCCAAAAATTTCCCACAATATGTGTGCATAATTAGAATAAAGAACAATGCATGTTTATAAAATTAGAGTTTTATAGAGGTGTATACCAAGCAATAATAGCATGCTTAAAGTTTTCTTTTAGCTTTTTCTTTGAATCTATCTCTCTTTATACTCTTTAGCCTATATGGAAAACGCTCAACATATTTCTCTGTAAATCTAGCCTGTTTTCAACCCAATATCCCCAGTTAAGATTCCTTTATAAATACTGGTTAATCTCAATCCTTTAATCCATTTTGCCTCCCAACAAAATTTAGGGCAGGCAATATTTAGTATGTTCTTTATTTCCCAGTGTTATAGAACATTCAATAAATGCTTTGTTGTTGAACCTGATGGATTTCAGTGAGAATGAAGAAGCTTGAGTAAACAAAAATTAATGTAAAACTATGAAGATAAAAATGTTTGCATATTAAACTATATGCATAAAACCTACCAAAAGTGTTTGTCCTTGGGAAATGAAGAAATGACCTGATATAACAATGGTGAGAATGAGATATCCAGATTCTTCATTGGAGTCAAAAACCTTAATAAAGAGAGAAAAAGATGTATAAGACAATACATTTCTGTAATACTAATAAACATAATACTGATAACCAAACTATCTTCTCACATTAATATTCCTACCCTGAATGTTTCCCTTCCTCCCATTTAATCTGTAATTATTCTAGAGTTTCAAGTTTATCCTTGTATAGGGGCTTAACATCCAGGATTCTTAAAAATGTAACTTTTTAAAACATACAAACAAAATACTAGATTGAAAATCAAATATGAGGTCTGCAAAAAACATTTTTCAGTTACATTTTAATAAATCATTAATTATCTTTGAGCCTCAATTTCCTTTCTGTAAAATGAGGACAATATCTTACAGAGGTGCTGTAAGATTTCAGAGTCCCAGTTTTTTCAGATACACAATCTATATTTCATAATTCCACAAAACCAGATGCTTTTCTTTAGATGAGCTTTAATTTGTCAGTGTCACCCTTAAAATATGGTGACCCAAACTGACCATAATACTTTTGGTGTGGTCTAATTATTTCCCATTATTTGCAGTAACCTGGTCTATAATCAAAGCTCAAAATAATGAACACACATCTAACTCAACTTAAATATAATTCATGCAAGAGTAGGCTTTCACAGCCACAGTGGCTGCCTGGATCCCTCCCTCACAGCTGCTGCAGCAGCGGCGGCCTCCTCCATCCCGCGGTGGTGTCCGGTCTAATTAGCATATTATGCTTTCATTATTATAGATAAGATTACTGCATTCTATTGACAATGTTCTATCTTATAGTTTTATATGTGGGGTTTGGAGCTTTAATGCCATATTTAAACTCAAGAGCTCCTACCAATTTTTTTCTAATTCACTTTAAATTCCAAACTTAAAAATCAAATAACATTCTAGATGTCAAGGAGAAGTATGCTAAGCCCTGCCTCTTTCCTAGTATCAGAACCTCAGTTATTTGTACGACAGCCTTCTCACCATAGTTTAAGTAGATTATCTTACTTGGTTCATGACCACTTAAAACCACTAGCTAGGTACTAGATAGAACATGATCAACTAATTCTTTGGGAGGCAATATGTTAACATGACAGTTTAACTTTTTTTTAAAAAAGAATTATAGGACACATATGTAATACCCTTTGTAATACTTATTATAATATTTTTTTAAAAGAATAAAAAAAAAAGAATTATAACATGTATCCCAAAAGTGTCCAACACCTAAACGTACATCTCAATGAGTAATCACCTCCCAGGTGAAGAAACACAACAATACCAGCCTTCCAGAAAGTATTCCAATCATTACCTACTCCCTAGGAGGACAACCTCCCATCCTGACTTCTAACACTATAGTTTAGTTTTATTTATATGAATGAAATTATACAGAAAGAATTATTTTATGTCTGGCTTCATTAATGTTGCTGCAAGTGTCTGAGTTCACTGATTTTCATTGTAAAATAGCATTTTATGACTATTCCACAATTGATATTTTGTCATTCTTTTGTTGAGGAATATTGTTTTTCAGTTTAGGTCTAACACTAATAATACTGTTATGAACTTTTTTAAAATTTTATTTTCATATTATAGATGTTTCCTTCCATGCGCGTGCCCCCTCTCCCCCCCACCTTATACTATCACCCAGCCCTGCCCCTCCTTCCTTCTGGTCATCCCCACACTGTTGTCAGTATCTATGGGTTATGCATATATGTTCTCTGGCTAATCTCTTCACCTTCTTTCATTCCAGTCCTTATATATATCTTATATACACTGAGTGGCCAGATTATTATGACCGGTCAGATTATTATGACCACCCAATCAGTACTTCGTTGGGCCACCTTTTGCCTTCAATACTGCGGCGATTCTTCTTGGTATTGACTCCACGAGATGTTGAAAGGTGATGCGAGGAATCTGACACCATGCCTGATGAATAGCACTGTCCAGTTCTGTGAGATTTGATGGTTGTGGAACCAGCTGCCTGATGGCTCTTTTAACTTCGTCCCACAAATGCTCAATTGGATTGAGATCTGGTGATTGTGGGGGCCACCTAAGCAAGGTAAAATCTCCCTCATGTTCTTGAAACCACTCCTGCACAATACAAGCACTACGAGCACTGTGGCATGGCGTATTGTCTTGTTGGAAGAAGCCATCTCCATTGGGATATGCCATCAACATGATAGGATGAACTTGATCAGCAACGATGCTTCTTAGGTATGTGCTGTTCAGATGTTTATAATGATCTGGCCCTCTAGCAACTTCGGCATGAAATTATAGCTAATTTGCCTACAAACGTCAGGTGGTCATAATAATCTGGCCACTCAGTGTATGTCTCTTGTATGGTAGAAACACTCATTATGGAAATGCCAGTCTTCCTAAATTATTTTATAATTTTTTTCAATTCATGAGTAATGACTTGCAGAAGAGTCCCAGGAGACTTCTCCCCTGCCCTCCAAACCCTTACATCTAATTGCCCACTCAACATCTTTCCTTACAGGTCTAACAGTCACCTCAAAATTAACAGCACCTAATTTGAAGTGTGAACCTTCCTATTGATTCATTTGCTCATCCATTCAATATTTACAAAGTGGCATCTGTTGCCTGTCACAGGAGTAGAAGTCCAAACACTTCTGCCCACTGTGTCTTGATACTGGAGTCACTAAGGAAAACAACACAGCAAGCACTGAATGGAAGAGCACTTTACTCACATGGAGAAGCAGCAAGGTAAGTATCAGAAGTGATGTAGACTTCCTGATAGGCAGGAGGCCCCCCTCAGCAGCCATGCAGAGCGGTTGGTCTGTACTTACCCATCTCGTGCTATAGCAGAAGAACCCTCCCCTGCACCCCATGTATCAAGGGACAGATACAGCAATGACATTAACCCGGTGCTATGTGATGGTTATGCAGAAAAAAGAAGCATAGGCTATTAGGACTCTATCTCTTGGTAAAAAAGTGTTCCAGGCCCAAGGCTCATTCTTACATGGCTGAGAGGGAATCAAAAGACTGTATGCACAGTGGTCTTTCCACACAAAACACCTACCACACATGCCAGGCAGTTGTAGGCATTTGACTCCCACAGTTTCCCATCTCAGAATATAGTAATTCTATCCTACATTTTCTTAGGTCAAAACTATGGAATCATTCTTAAATCTTCTCCTTTTCTCATACCCATATACATCAGCAAATCATTAATATCAACCTGCAAAATATTCAGACTCTATCCACATCTCACGGATCTGGTATGAGTTATAATCATCTCTAGTTATATTATTACTAGAGACCTGGTGCATGAAATTTGTGCATGGGTAGGGTACCTAGGCCTGGCTGGCGATCAGGGCCAATCAGGGCCTTCCGGCTGCCAGCCGGGACCTCTCTTCCCAAGCTGCTGGCTGCAGACACGGCCTCCCTTCCCCAGCTGTCGGCTGGTGGCTGGCGCTTCCCTTCCCTAGCTTCTGGCTGCCAGCCAGGGCCTCCCTTCCCCGGCTGCTGGCCGGGGCCTTCCTCCGTTCCATGCTGTCTCTGATAGCACAGGTCATAGAGAGCGATCGAACTCCTGGTCTCCCGGTCAAACTCTCGAGGGGATACTTTGCATATTAGCCTGTTATATATATAGATAATAACCTACTAACTGGGTTTCCCATTTCTGTTCTTGCTCCCCCTTTCCAACACATTTTATTTTTAATACAGTAGCCAGGAGTAATCCTTTTAAAACCTACGTCAGATCATGTCATTTCCAGCACAAAGCCCTGAAGTAGCTTTGCATCTCATTCAGAGACTCATGCAAGGTGCTCCACAATCTAGCTCTCCATTGCCTCTCTGCTGTAGCCACACTGCCCTCCTTGCTGCTTCTTGAACACGTTATGCCCATTCATAATGACAAACCTTGGGGCTTTAGAAATTTCTATTCTTTCTGAAATTCTCTTCTAGATCCACATGACTAGATCCATCTATTTTGGGTCTTTCCTTAAATGTCATTTTTTCAGGTAACACTTTTCCTGACCATCCTACTGAAAACTGCCACAAACTTCACTGGTTACCCAAACAAAATCACTCCTATTATTTTCTCCAGCTTTGTTTTTCTTCATCAATGTCTTTCTCCATGTTACTACTTTTGTTACTTTATATTTACTAGTACTTATCTGTCTGCCTGTCTTCTTTAAAAGATATTGATAAATAGGATTATAAATATACTCAATTAATCCAAAAGAAGGCAGAATAAGAATTAAAAGTGAACAAAGAACATGTGGGACAAATACAAAACAAAAAGCAATATTATAGAATCACATCTAACCCCAATGATGATCACCTGAAAGGCAAATGGCTTAAAGTGCATTTCTTGTAGGTAACATATACAGGGTGCCACAAAAGCAGGTTTACAGTTATTCCTATAGAAAGTATTACAATAATTAATAAATAATAATACAAGAATAAACTCTATAAAAAACAAATGAGGGGATTAAAAATGGGAGTGGAGTAGTGGATGATGCACAAACATACTCCCAGAAACAAACTAGAATTACGCCTGAAATACAGAAAACTTTCCTGAATAATCAACAGAAGACTCGCTAGAGAGAACCCTGATTCCCAAGTACCAAAAGTGAAGACTGCAAAGAGACTGGTAGGAGGGGCGGACGTGTGAAAGGGCTGGCCAGGCACACACAGACAGAAATTGAAGTTCCAGAGATATATTTCAGATGTGAGGAGTTGCCACTGAGAACTCTGGGGTCTAATCTCCCAACTGGGCCCCCCAACAGAGAGCACCATTACTGAGAAGGATACCCACATAATATCTGGTGGTGAAAAGGAGCAGAGTTGCTCTCTGCCAGGGAGAGACAGCTGGAAATGCAGGCACCCTTGTAAAGGAACAACCCACAAAATTCCCTGTGGAGCCACCCACCCTGTGCTCTAGTAGAAGGAGGGCAGAGTACACTAGAGCTGCGTGAGCAGAAGCCATGATCAGAGACTTTGCAGTTAGAGCTCAGAAGGCAGACACCCAGGTTTCCTGTGATGAGTCATTCCTTCACGCTGCAAGA